CGTTATTTTGTTTTCTCGTGTTCTCGGCCCCTGGGTCGTGGTCTCGTTTTCTCTGACCCTGATTCGTTGTTTTGTTTTCTGGTTTTATCGTCCCCTGGGTCGTGGTCTTGTCTTCTCTGACCCTGGTTCGTTTTCTCGTTTTCTTGTTTTCTCGGCCTCCGGGTCGTGGTCCAGTTTTCTGGGACCCTGGTTTGTTTTATCGTCTTCGCATTCTCTCTGCCCCTTGGTCGTGGTCTCGTTTTCTCGGGCCCCCGTTCTTTTTCTCCATTTCTTGTTTTCTCGGCCCCTGGGTCGTGGTCTCGTTTTCTCGGGCCCTGTTTCGTTTTCTCGTTGTCTCTGCCCCTGGGTCGTGGTCTCGTCTTTTCTGACCCTGGTTTGTTTTCTCGTTTTCTCGGCGCCTGGGTCGTGGTCTCGTTTTCTCTGGCCCTGGTTCTCTCGTTTCTTGTTTTCTCGGCGCCGGGGTCGTGGTCCAGTTTTCTCGGACCGTGGGTCGTTTTCTCGTTGTCTCGTTTTGTTGGCCCCTGGATCGTGGTCTCGTTTTTTCGGACGCTGGTCTGTTTTCTCGTTGCCTCGTTTTCTCGGGCCCCCGGTTCGTAGTCTCGTTCTCTTGGGCCCTGATTCCTTTCATCGTTTCTTCGTTTTCTCGGCCCCTGGGTCGTGGTCTCGTTTACTAGGAACGATATTCGCGTTTTCTCGGCCTGGGTCGTGATCTCGTTTGCTCAGACCTTGGTTTGTTTTATCGTTTTCTCGTTTTCTCGTCCCCTGGGTCGTGGTCCTGTCTTCTCTGACCCTGGTTCGTTTTCTCGTTTTCTCGTTTTCTTGGCTTCTGGGTGTTTGTTTCGTTTTCTCGGGCCCTGGTTCGTTTTCTCGTTTTTCTCTTTTTCTCTGCCCTTGCGTTGTGTTCTCGCTTTCTCGGGCCCTTGTTCGTCCTCTCGTCTTCTCGTTTTCTCGGCCCCTGGGTCGTGGTTTTGTTTTCTCGGGCACTGGTTTGTTTTCTCGTTGTCTCGTTCTGGGTCGTGGTCTCGCTTTATCGGACCCTGGTTAGTTCTCGCGTTTTCTCGGCCCCTGGGTCGTGGTCTCGTTTTCTCGGACCCTGGCTTGTTTTTTTGAACCCTGGTTCGTTTTCTCGTTTTCTCTGCCCCTGGGCCATGGTCCCGTTTTCTCGGACCCTGCTTCTTTCCTCGTTTTCTCGGCCCCTGGGTCGTGGTCTCGTTTTCTCTGACACTGGGTCTTCGTCGGTGTCGGTCGTCGGTCGCGCGTCGTCCATCGTCCGTCGCCGTCTTCGCATGACCTCGCCCTCGTCGTGACGACCACGACGAGGTCATGCGAAGACGGCGACAATGACGAAGACGGCGGCGACAATGACGACGAGGACGACGACGGCGTCGTACGAAGACGTCGAGCGACGGCGACGGCAACGACGACGGCGACGGGGGAGGATCGTCCAGCAGGGGGAGTTCAAGGGAGGTGGGTGGTAGCTTCCAGCAGGGTAGGTTCAAAGGGGGATAGCTAAGCCCCCTCCCCTTGGAAAGGGGTGAGGGGGGGTAGCTTCCGGAGCGGCAAATGGGGGGAGGGGGGGGGTAGTTTCGGGGGGGGATAAAAAAGAAAAAGGGGGGGGGAGCTTCCAGCAGGGGGGTCCAAAAGGGGGGGGGGGTAGCTAAGCTCCCCCTCCTCTTTGGAAAGGGGGGGAGGGGGGGGGGGGAGCTTCCGGAGCGGTACAAGGGGGGGAGGGGGGGGAGCTTCCGGGGGGGAGCCAAAAAGAGGGGAGAGGGGGGGGTAGCTTCTAGCACGGGGAACCCAAGGGAGAGGGGGTAGCTAAGGGGGACCCCCAACCAGGGGGGGGTCACTACCGGTTCGAACCCCTCCCCCCCCTCCCCAGTTCATCATGAAAGGGGGGGGGGGGGTCACTACCGGTTCGAACCCCCCCCCCCCTCGAAAACGGGGGGGGGTCACTACCGGTTCGAACCCCCCCCCTCCTCGGAAACCGAGTGGGGGTGCGGACAGTGGTGGGGACGGTGATGGTGGGGACAGTGGTGAGGGGACAGCGGGACTGTGGTGGGGACAGTGGGACAGTGGTGGGGACGGTAGTGGTGGGGACAGACAGTGGGGACAGTGGGGATAGTCGGGCAGTGGTTGGGGCCGTGGAGAAAGCGGGGAGAGTGGAACCGTGGTGGGAACAGTGGTGGGGACAGTGGGGACAGTGCGACAGTGGTGGGGGCACTGGTGGGGACAGTAGGGACGGTGGTGGAACCAGTGGGGACAGTGGTGGTGAGGACAGTGGTGCTGGGAACAACAGTGGACCGGTAGTGACCCCCCTTCGGTTTTCGAGGGGGGGGGGGGAAAGGGGTTCGAACCGGTAGTGACCCCCCCCGGTTTTCGAGGGGGCGGGGGGTGGGGGGTTCTAACCGGTAGTGACCCCCCCCCGGTTTCCCCGGTTTTCGAGGGGGAGGGGGGGTGGAGGGGTTAGGGGAGGGGGGGAGGTTTTGCCGGGGGACGGAAGGGGGGGGGGTCCAGCAGGGGGGGGATTTTCGGAGGGGGAGGGGAACCCCGGGTTCCGGAGGAAAAGGGCGGCAATTTTCCACAGTAAAGCGGCGGTGGATCACGCTCTCTCTCTCTCTCTCTCTCTCTTTCTCTCTCTCTCTCATATATATGTGTGTATATATAGTTGTTAATACAGCTATTTACACAACTATATTGATATATGTGTGTATGTGTGTAAATGTATAGGTGTATGTATGTGTGTATATATATGAAGCATAGAAGTGTGTAGGCATGCATGTGTGCATGTATGCATATATGCATGCATGCATGCATGCATGTATGCCTGTAAATATGCATGAATTGATCAATGTAGGTTTGTGTGTACCTGTCTATGTACACAGGTATGCGCATATGCACGTGTGTATGCATGTGCACCTATATTTATGTGTATATATATATATGTTTATATACATGTTTGCATATATGTATGCACTGATGCATGTATGTATGTATATACACTATACTTGCGCATGATTGCATGAATGCGTGTATGTATGCGTGTATGCATGGGTGTAAGTAGGTATGTATGTATGTATTGCGAAGGCCTGACGGCCGGTGCCGCCGACCCTGTTCGCAATGCGCAGCAAGAGATTACGAGGTTGCTCAAGGTCGGCTTGGCTGGAGCCCAGGGGAAGAGGAGTCCCAGGGGGGGGCGTCGTATCTGACCCGGGGGGGGGTCGACACCCCCCCCCCCCTCCCGGCGGGGGAGGGATCAAAGGGAAGGGGCTTCCCTTCGACTCAATTACGAGGTTGCTCAAGGTCGGCTTGGCTGGAGCCCAGGGGAAGAGGAGTCCCAGGGGGGGGCGTCGTATCTGACCCGGGGGGGGGTCGACACCCCCCCCCCCCTCCCGGCGGGGGAGGGATCAAAGGGAAGGGGCTTCCCTTCGACTCAATTACGAGGTTGCTCAAGGTCGGCTTGGCTGGAGCCCAGGGGAAGAGGAGTCCCAGGGGGGGGCGTCGTATCTGACCCGGGGGGGGGGTCGACACCCCCCCCCCCCCTCCCGGCGGGGGAGGGATCAAAGGGAAGGGGCTTCCCTTCGACTCAATTACGAGGTTGCTCAAGGTCGGCTTGGCTGGAGCCCAGGGGAAGAGGTTCCCAGGGGGGGGCGTCGTATCTGACCCGGGGGGGGGGTCGACACCCCCCCCCCTCCCGGCGGGGAGGGATCAAAGGGAAGGGGCTTCCCTTCGACTCAACGAGGTTGCTCAAGGTCGGCTTGGCTGGAGCCGGGGAAGAGGAGTCCCAGGGGGGGGCGTCGTATCTGACCCGGGGGGGGGGTCGCTACCCCCCCCCCCTCCCGGCGGGGGAGGGATCAAAGGGAAGGGGCTTCCCTTCGACTCAATTACGAGGTTGCTCAAGGTCGGCTTGGCTGGAGCCCAGGGGAAGAGGAGTCCCAGGGGGGGGCGTCGTATCTGACCCGGGGGGGGGGGTCGACACCCCCCCCCCCCTCCCGGCGGGGGAGGGATCAAAGGGAAGGGGCTTCCCTTCGACTCAATTACGAGGTTGCTCAAGGTCGGCTTGGCTGGAGCCCAGGGGAAGAGGAGTCCCAGGGGGGGGCGTCGTATCTGACCCGGGGGGGGGGTCGACACCCCCCCCCCCTCCCGGCGGGGGAGGGATCAAAGGGAAGGGGCTTCCCTTCGACTCAATTACGAGGTTGCTCAAGGTCGGCTTGGCTGGAGCCCAGGGGAAGAGGAGTCCCAGGGGGGGGCGTCGTATCTGACCCGGGGGGGGGGTCGACACCCCCCCCCCCCTCCCGGCGGGGGAGGGATCAAAGGGAAGGGGCTTCCCTTCGACTCAATTACGAGGTTGCTCAAGGTCGGCTTGGCTGGAGCCCAGGGGAAGAGGTCTCCCAGGGAAAGGGAAGGACAGAGACGACGAGTACAAAGAATGACGGAGATGACGGCTCGAACGGAAAAGCCCCTCACACACGCCGACAGGGTCGGCGGATTTATGGATGTATGTATGCATGTATGTATGTATGTATGTGTATGTCTGCATTAATGTATGACTATATGCATGTATTCCTGCATGCATGCATGTACTTATGCATGCATGTATGCATGTATGCATGTCATGTATGTATGTAGGTAGGTAGGTAGGTACGCATGTATGTATGTATGTCTGTCTGCCTGTCTGTATGGATGTATGTGTATGCATGTTTGTTTGTATGCATGCATGTATGTATGTGTGTTTGTTTGTACGTACGTACGTACGTATGTATGTATGTATGTATGTGTGTATGTATGTATGTATGTATGTAGGTAGGTAGGTAGGTAGGTAGGTATGTATAGATATGCAAGTGTGTGTATATGCAGGTATGTGTATTTGCATGCATGCACGTGTGCATTTATGTATGTGTATGCATGCATGCATGCATGCATGCATGCATGCATGCATGCATGTATGTATGTATATGTGAGCACGTGCGTGTAATTCGCCCACCTGGCCCTTTCGCCCGGAGGTCAAGGAAGAGACAGGGAAGGTCCCGAAGGACAGCGAGATTGAGTTGCCGCTGATCTTCAAGGAGGTCGGGCCGCGTGCCGGGAGAAGGGGATCAGGCTGGGCGGCTTGCGCCTGAAATTGTCCCCCCTGGACACCCGCCGCACCAACCTCGGTGAGCATGTCGTCTCCGTAGGAAATCTGTTGTTTCTCGCCCAGATGCGTTGCATTACTCAGAGGAGGAAAAAGGTGCCACTACGGCTACCGTCCCCCCGTTTTCCCAATTCACGGCCTCCTGGGCTGCCCTCGTCGACACCGCTGGATTCGCTTCGAAATTCTGGTCAAAGGGCATCCCGGGAGGTCTGCGAAGTAGCGGTGTCGGTTTTCTTTGGTATTATCCACAGGGGCTTGTCATTTCTCAGACCAGTCGAAGAGGCTTCTGGCGACCCTACGCCGCTGCCACCGCCCGTTTGGCCAAGCGTTCGGCCAAGCTTGGCCAAGACATTGGCCATTGTTTCCCGCTAACCTTTGGAAACAATTCGGGCGACATCGGGGAGCTGGTTTCCGTTGTTTGCTGTCAGCCTCTTCTGCCAAATGCTGGGCCTCTGTGCCGCCTGAGGCCATGTTAGGGATCCTTGGGTGTTTTGCTGCACAGGGGGCCATTTTGGGGGGTTTGTCTTGGGGCCTCCTGGAGGCATCCGTGGTCATCTCGAGCTGTCTTGGAGCGGTCTTGGGGCCACCTTGAGCCAGCTTGGGCTATCTGAGCCATCTCGGAGGTCATCTTGGGCTCTCTGAGGCAGCTCTGGGGCCTCTTGGGTGCCTCTCGGGTGCCTCTTGGAGCCCTCTTGGGGCCTCTTGGGGCGCTCTTGGAGCCCCCTTGGGGGCCTCTTGGGAGCCCTGGAGTGCCTCTTGGGGCCATCTTGAAGGCGGTCGGTCAAAAGAGGTGGGTCCCCCCTCGGGGGCCATGATCCTCTTGAGGGATGTCAAACATTGGCCCTCCCAGGGGCCGAAAACGGACCCTCTGACACATCGGGGCCCCTCCATAAAAAAAAAACAACTCAGGGAGGGGAGGGGGAGGGTTCCCCTCCCCGAAGGGAAGAGGGGTTGTGAAAGAGGAAAGAGACCCTCGTTACACCACTTGTCGCCCAAAGGGCTGGTGGAATTTCGTGCCACCTCTGGGGCCTCGTTGGCCCTCTTGGCGCCCCCGAGGTCCCCCGTGGGGGCATCCTGGATGCCTGTTGGGACACGCTGGGGCCTCGTGGACCTCCCCTTTGGGTCTCCGTCTGGCTGCCTCGGGGCAGCCTCTCTCCAGCCACCCGGGGGCCGTCTTTGAGTCCTCTGGGGCCCATCTCAAGGACCCGAGGCGAGAGCGTGGCAGTCATGACCAGCCTCTCGGTTTCCCGTGGTCTTGGCCTTCGTGGGTTTCGCAGAGTTGGGGCCGACTGTGGGGCCGCTGCGGAGGCCACCTCGTGCAGTCCTCGAGGCCATCTCGAGCCGCAGTTGGGCGACCGAAGATCGGGGTCGGTTGCGCGGGCATTCGCACGTGAGCTGCCCGCGCAAGGTCGCGCGACGGCGCCTTTGTTTCCAATGTAGCGTGCCGCGCTGGTCACCGCGCAGACCACCGCGCCAGATCGCGATGCCACCTCTGACGGGCCTGTTTTCCACCACCACCACCACCAGACGTTGGAGGATGAAGATGATGATGATGCTGATGATGATTATGATGGTGATGACGACGACGACGACGATGATGATGATGATGCTGATGATGATGATGATGATGATGATGCTGATACTGATGCTGATGCTGATGCTGATGCTGATGCCGATGATGCCGATGATGTTGATGATGCTGATGATGATGATGCCGATGATGCTGATGATGGTGATGATGGTGATGATGCTGCTGATGATGATGATGATGATGATCATGATGATGATGATGATGATGGTGATGATGATGATGATGCTGATGATGATGCTGCTGTTGCTGCTGATGATGATGATGATGATGATGATGATGATGATGATGATGATGATGCTGCTGCTGCTGCTGATGATGATGATGATGATGATGATGATGATGATGATGATTATGATGATGATTATGATGATGATGATGATGATGATGCTGATGATGGTGGTGGTGGTGATGATGATGCTGCTGCTGCTGCTGCTGCTGATGATGATGATGATGATGCTGATGCTGAGGAGGAGGAGGAGGAGGAGGAGGCGGCGGAGGAGGAGAACCCCCTCCTCCTGCTTACGGTGGCGGCGGTGGACATCAAGCCCACCAGTCTCGCTCTCCGTCGCTCGTCTGGGGGGGTCGCTCGCGGCCACCCCGAGCCGCGCGCGGGGGGGCGGGGGGGGGGGGCGGGAGAGGGGCCCCGTGGGTCCCGCGGGCCTGCCCGCTTGGCATCGCTCGGAGGTGTGCATGTTTTCTCGGCGAGAACCATTGAGGACCACCAGCTGCCCGCGTAAGCTCGCGCGTGGGCGCCCTCGTCTCCAAAGTAGTGTGCCGCGCCGACGGCTCGCGTAAGCTGCGGCGTACGGTCGCAGTGCCACCTCGCGTGCAGTGGAGACCCATGCCACGAAGCACCCTGTTTGCCTCTACGGTGCCCTGGGTTTCTTGGGTTTCGATGGTTTGTTTCCAACCCTCCTTGGCTGGGTATTCGTTTTGAGTAGAGGGTTGTGGTCGCGTCCCTTCTTCCGCCTCCCGCCTCCTCCTGCCCTCTCTTCGCCGTCCCTGGGGGGCTGCAATCTGCGAAACTGTCGCCACGTTCGAGGGCTGTTGGTGGGTCCTGCGGAGTGTGGCACCGCGCGGACCTGATCGAGACCTCGCCCTCGCTGGGTTGCTGCGATCTGCGGAACCGTCGCCACTTTCGAGGGGTGTTGGTGGGTCCTGCGGGGTGAGGCACCGCGCGGACCTGAGCGAGACCTCGCCGTCCTGGGGGCTGCGATCTGCGAAACTGTCGCCACTTTCGAGGGCTGTTGGTGGGTCCTGCGGGGTGAGGCACCGCGCTGACCTGAGCGAGACCTCGCCGTCCCTGGGGGGGGCTGCGATCTGCGAAACTGTCGCCACTTTCGAGGGGTGTTGGTGGGTCCTGCGGTGTGAGGCACCGCGCGGACCTGAGCGAGACCTCGCCGTCCTTGGGGGGGCTGCGATCTGCGAAACTGTCGCCACTTTCGAGGGCTGTTGGTGGGTCCTGTGGGGTGAGGCACCGCGCGGACCTGAGCGAGACCTCGCCGTCCTTGGGGGCTGCGATCTGCGAAACCGTCGCCACTTTCGAGGGCTGCTGGTGGGTCCTGCGGGGTGAGGCACCGCGCGGATCTGAACGGGACCTCGCCGTCCCTGGGGGGCTGCGATCTGCGAACTTGTCGCCACTTTCGGTCCTGCGGGGTGAGGCACCGCGCGGACCTGAGCGAGACCTCGCCGTCCCTGGGGGGCTGCGATCTGCTGCGAAACCGTGGCCACTTTCGAGGGCTGCTGGTGGGTCCTGCGGGGTGAGGCACCGCACGGACCTGAGCGAGACCTCACCGTCCCTGGGGGGTTGCGATCTCATGGACGGCCGCGAACCGGTCGGTTCGGTTGCGTCGGTGTCGGCTAGAATCGATCGGTTCGGTCGGTTCGGTTGTTGCGGAGTCCCTGCGTCGTCGCGCCCTCTTCGGTTACTTCGGTTGATTCGGTTTCGCCGCGGGCGCCTCGCTGGCGCCTCGTGCCGGCCCAGGGGATCGAATCGGCCGCCAGTTTCCAGTTCGGTTTCGCTGCCCACGGATTCGCGCCGATCTGATTCCGCTTGGCCTTTCCCTTTGAAGAAAAAGGGAGGAGGAAGAGGAGGAGGAGGAGGTGGAGGAGCAGGAGGAGGAGGAGAGGAGCAGGAGCAGGAGGAGCAGGAACAGGAGCAAGGAGGTTGGTTGGCTGATTGGCCGGATGCGCGCAGTGGCGCATCGTTGGCCGGATAAATCTTGCCCCGTGGCCAGGCTTCGAAAACGCTTCTTCCACGGGAATTCCGGAGGCTCCCCGGAGGCGCCGAAGGCCCCGCGGGGAGAGAAAACATTTTTTCTGGCCTCGAAAAATGTTGTTTCGGCTCGTGGGGGTTCCGGAGGCTCCATGGAGGCGCCGAAGGCTCCGGGGAGAGAAAAACAATTTTTCAGCCCCCGAAAATGTTTTTCGGCTTCCGGGGCCTCTGGAGGCTCCCTGGAGGCGCCGAAGGCCCCGGGGGAGAGGAAAACAATTTGTTGGGTCTCGAAAAATGCTTTTATGGCTTTCCGGAGCTCCAGAGGCTCCCTGGAGGCGCCGAAGGCCCTGGGGAGAGAAAAACAATTTTTCAGGCCTCGAAAAATGCTTTCGGGGGCTCTGGAGGCTCCCTGGAGGCGCCGAAGGCCCCGGGGAGAGAAAAACAAGTTTTCAAGCCTCGAAAAATGTTTTTTCGGTTCCGGGGGGAGGCGCCGAAAACCCGGGGAGAGAACAACAATTTTTCGGGCCCCGAAACATGTTTTTTCGGCTGCCGGGGGCTCCGGAGCTCGAGAAATTGATTTTCGGGTCCTGGGGGTTTGGAAGTCCGCCGAGATTCAGACATCCGCCGGGGGCGCGTGCGGGCTGCGCCACTTGGACTTCCGCCTACGCTTGTATGGGGCGAAGCGCGGGAGGGGTGCGCCGAAATTAGCGCGGACGCATGCTGGCTGCGCTACTTGAACCTTCGCGAAACGCGCGGGGTGTGTGCTGAAATTTGCGGCGGGGGCGCATGCTGGCTGCGCCGCCGGGGCCTTGGGCGGAACATCTATGGGGCCACGAAACTTGCGAGGGGTTCGCCGAAGTTCCTTGCGGGAGCGCGCGCGGGCTACGCCGCTGGGAATTTTAGCGGAGCTCGGATGGGGCCATGAAGCGTGTGAGGGGTGCGCCGTCGCGGGGAGCGAGAGCGCATGCTGGCTGCGCCACTGTGACCCTGCAGTTCGGTTTTCGCGTTCGGTCGGTTTCGGTCGGCTGATTTGGTTCTGCAGGCCCCCTTTCGGTTTCGATCGGTTTCGGTTTCGTCATCGGTTCGGTCTTCTCTCGGTTTCTCGGCAACTCGTGGCCGCCCATGGATC